AAAAAAAAAAAGCTTGTATTGCATCAAGAAAATTATGTGAAAACTACAGCGAACTAGCTGTAAATTTAATAACACTTGGCTTTTTTTATGTCTCAGGAAGGAAGAGTGAAATTCTGCACAATTATTCAGAGTATGTATGCAAGTACACGTCTCTGCATATGGATATCCAGGGAAGCACATCCTTGGAAATGCAGCTACTATAAAAGCATTATATTCTGATCAGACTTAGAGAGGACACACATAACCATGTTCAGGGAACACGGAGGGACACGTTTGCCAAGAAGCCATTGGATTTCTTTCCACTATTGGGTGTGCCATGAGATTAAGGAGCCAAGCATATTGGTTTCATTGCATTTCCACATCAATCACATTCTTTCGAAGAGTTCAGTTTGATTGCCCGATGTTTCCAAATTTCTCTGCCTTGAAGCTCATCTGTCAGTGACCTTGTGACCAGCTTTCCTACACGTCCCATGTTGTGTCTCAGTTTCATTCCCCCAGACTTTGAAGTTGTGTGAGATTTCCTGTTGATTTGTTTTCTTAAGAGTTTCACATTCAGTACACGGTAGTGATGGAGGAGCCAGGCTGTGCTCAAAGCGCTGAGGCTCAGCGCTGTATCTGCAGGGAGATTTTTGTATCCTGATTCAGACAATGAACGTCCCAGAATTAGGAGATGCTGATGCTAGGTCTGCCTTTAGGCACAGTGCTTCTTCCTCGTCCAAGGTCAGGGACAGCATTCAGTTCTTAATTTGGGAGGCACCCTTCAGGATGTTTGTGCAAAATGAGTAGTTGATGTTCTGTGGGAGCTTTGAGTCGTTCAGTGTGCCTGATAGGAGGAGTGGGCCTCAATGTGGGACTGCTTTCCTGTTTCCCTCTTCTCTTGTGCCCTGCTCTAGTCTTGCTTTGAGATTTCTCTGAACAGATCAGCAGATGTCCTTTCAGGCATCTGGTGGTAAAAGCCAAATGCAGAGTTCAGCACAGCTGAATTCAGTATATAAACTCCATGTGATCAGCAGGTTGTTGGCCAGCTCATACTGAGGCTTCTCCAAATCATCCCCTTCTGCCTTTCACGTCCCTCAGCTGGCAAAGCGTGTTACAGACTTGCCGCCAATGCTACCTTGCCATCCTCATTTCACATCTGCTATTGTAAGACCTGTCTTTCCTTCCCCCCCACCCCTCAAAAAAAAAAAAAAAATACTTTTTTCATTTCTCTGCTGCTTGCAAACCGGTCACTCCTGGCCTGCACACAACCACAGCTGAGGCAGTGGAGATTCCAGTGGTACTGGTTGAACTTTAATGCCTTTGGGCATTTCACATCTCACATCGGCAGAGGCTGTCCTGCATGCGTCAATGAAGCAGCAGAGAATCATGGAGGTGACCTGAAACTGCATCCCTGCTGCAAATGGGAGGGAGGGCACTGTGTGGGGTTTGAGAAGTGATAATGGGCACAGAGGTGATGTGAAGAATTGAGTTGTTGGGTTCTTGTTGCGTGGTTGTTTTTTTTCTAGGCTGACTTAAATTTATATTCAATTTCATTAGCAGCTTAGGATCATTTACGCTTAAAAGATTAATTGTTCTATCAAGGATGATTTCCATCATTTCCCATCCATTTGTCGGAGCTATGAAGTGACCCCCGATGGAAGCTGGAGCTTCCGTGACCTCTTTACCAAACAATGCTTCTCCCAGAGCGGGTTTTACCAACAGAGCTGGAGATCCGCGTGGAGAAGCCAAAGAATCCTCAAATGTGACGCGGACGGAGGAGCCCCATGTGCGCCTCGGCGCCTCCCGTGGGCCGGGCCGCCCCGTTCCTTGTCGCGTGCTGCCACCTGGCGGTCGGCGGGAGCGCTGCAGCTCCGCGCGGGGAGCAGCCCGGAACTTAAGGCGGCTGCGTGTGAAAATTTGCGTATGCGAATGTCGGTGTGAGGGCGGGCAGAGCGGCGGCCCGGCGGTTTTCTCTGGGGGTAACAGAACCGCGTGGTCGAAACCTGGCAGGTGGCAGCCCGGCCCACGGCGGAGGGGTTGGAACTTGGTGACCTCTGAGGTTCTGTGATTCTGTGCCGCCTCCCATTAGCTGTTAAATATCCGTATGTGAGCGGGCGTTCGAGGAGGGGTTTCGTTCTATAAGAAGGGCTCTATGGCACAGCTAAGAGTGAACCTGTGCAGAGACGGGCAAATTCAGTGAGCATTGTTAAGAAATGGGAAACACAAGTTCACCTGCATCCCCAGCAGCGAGGTTCGGGAAAGCTTGCTGTGCAAGCAATGAAGGGGGAAGAGGAGGGCTGGAAAATTGTATGTGTGTGTCCAGATGTGAAGAGATAAATCTAATGAAATAAATCTGATGAAATGTTTACCTGCTCCACACAGGCAGCAGTATCATTATTCAAAAAACAAGCGGCAGACCCTTGTTATCGAAAAGAGGCGAAGGATCAGCAGCTGAGCTGTAGGGAACGGAGAGCAGCGTGGACAGCATGGAGACTGTGAGAAACACTGAGTAAAGGATAGGATATTCCCAAGAAGACTCGTTGTTTGGAGAACTTCTCTGTGAATATTACTGATAGGTTTAGGAAGATCAAAAGCTTTGGCTTCTGTTTGATTCTTGCAGTAGGCAAACGATGGAACTTTGTTACAGTGGAAGGAACTGAAAATAACAGGCATGGCACTGTAGATATCCAGCCATAAAACTGTCTGTTGCTTTTCAGCTTCCAGCTCACAGCTTGATTCAGGTCCAGCAGGAACCATCATGAATGCACAAACCACGAGATACGATCACTGGTCAGATTTGCTCTCTTTAACACAGTGCTCATCACCGGATTTAGTCATAGTGGGAAGCAGGCTCTGATACACTGCTGTGAAACAGAACTTCTGTATGCAGCAGTCTGAGCTTCTGCAGCAAATAATTTCTGAAGTAACCAGAGATAACACTGCTAAGTTTCTCAGTAGCAATTACAGTTCAGTAACTTTATACAACCAAAAACTTCAGTGCAGTTTGATCTCATTTTCAGTGTTTTTATTTATTTATTTATTTATTTTTTTACAAAGCTGCTGTTTGAACATTTCTTGTTAAGCCTAACATCACATGTGACGGAATAATGTATTGAGAATAATAAAATGGATGTGAGTGCAGGAACTGGAGCAGGAAGCATGTGTGAACTGAACCTTCCACGTCATAACAGACACTGAGCCTTAGGAGGAAAGGCAAAATGTGAGCGTGCTATAAAGCAAAATCTGGTGGGTACAATAACGATAAAAGTGGTTGTCAAGCAAGCATAGAGGGACTCATTACTAAACCAAGTGCAACACTTTAAATAGTGATAGGAGGAAAAATACTTCTAAACCTTATTTACAGCATTTCTGCAAGTTTCTCATCTCAGCCAATAAAAATGCAAACTCTGATACAGAACTGGAGTGAGGTGAGATGCAGCGAGGCAGTGTAACATCAGTGGGTGATGAGGAAGTGTAACAACAGGTGATTAAAAAGGCAGACCCAGGAACCCTGTCCCACTGCCTGCTCATGACATATGGAAGGGCCCAGGAGGAGAATAGGACATTTCACATGCGATCTTTACTCTCTGGCAGTGTTGTCAATAAGTGTTGTGAACAGGCCCTTGTTTGCTTCTAACTTTCTTGCATGAAGCAATTTGCTGATGGAGAGCCTGCGGGTCTTCCTGGCTGTGAGGTGAGGCTCAGCCCTGCATGCTGTCAGCATTCCATGCTATCGATTTGTGGATGTCACTGTGCAGGGATCTGTGAGTTGAGAGGTGAAGTCAGTGGGACTCAACTTTGGCAGGGCTTTCTGGTTTAGTATTTTAGATTTTAGAAGAAATCTGCTTTTCCAGAGTAATACAAAGGCGTTGGAAAAAAAAAAAAAAGCTTTTCAAGCCTAACCTGTCAGGAAAGGAACACCATGGGAACTGTGCTGCCAACAGCCAGCACGTGGCAAGGTGTTCACTGAGCCCTACTGCACATGCAGGGTGTGCACGCAGTGTGCCCCTAACATTGGTTAGAGAAAGACAAAAAAAAAAGGGTGTAAACTGTTCCTTACAATGCACTGTTTTACTTCAGTGAAGCACAAGTACTCTATTGTTGCTTCTGGATTTTTTAATGCGTTTGGTAAGTCTTGGATAGGAAACCAAGAAAATGGTAATTGCTGTTACTTTACATAGGTCTCATCAGCTCTGAGTAAAATCAGCAGGAGAGGCTTTCTGCTGTTCTTTTGGGATGACTTCTGATGTTTCCTGGTGTGTTTTTGAAGTTCCTGAGTTTTTCTGTTCCCTTTCCAGTTCATGGTATTAAGTGGACGTGCAGCAATGGAAACAGCAGTTCAGGGTTCTCAGTGGAGCAGCTGGTGCAGCAGATCCTCGATAGTCACCAGACCAAACCGCAGCCTCGGACACACAACTGTCTCTGCACTGGTACCTTGGGTGAGTGCCACGGGAGGGCACGACGTGCTTGCAGCTTAACCCAGGCTTGGAATGGGTTTTGCAGCACAAAAATGCTGTATTGTGAAATGTTGAGACCCAATGAGTGTAGAGGTAATAGAAGATTTAAGAAAAAAAAGTGCACCTGGAATTTCTGTTTAAGAAAAAGAAGAAACCACAAAACCAACAGCAGACACTTTGTGTTGTGCCCTCTGTATGTGGTTTGCTTAGAAAGGTGCGTTCTCTTCTGCATGCTTCAGAATTTATTGTTCTGACAACATTACCCTCAGAAACTGTTGCCCTGCAGCCTGCTTTGCTGGAGAAGGGCTCAGGTGGTTACTTACAAGGCTGCACTGGAATAAGACAGGTTTTATTTAATTACCATGAAGACATGAGAGATTTCTCTCCTGTTAAAAAAGATGGTTTTGTTTGGAGACTAGAATGGCAGGAAACAGCATCCTGAGTGTTAGAGCTTTGCACAGCAAGTAGGAAGAAGAATTATTCTTTTTTCCATCTCATCTGCTTTATAGCCAGTCCTTCCTACTACTTTGGTCAAGTAAAATATATCATATGTTAATTAGTCTTCAGAGAAATTTATAAAGGAAAGCTGTCTGTGCTTCAAAGGGTTTATTTTTTTCTGCTTTTCTGGGCAGTTGTGTTATACAATTGAGGTTTTTAAGTAAGAATGATGACCTCTGAAATACCTGGGTTTGGATTAAAATTCAAGCCTGAAGGCTCAGCATTTGATCCAGGTTTGCAGATCTGAACACGAATCCTTTTATGCTTCCCTTTGATGTTTTGTCTTGTGTTAAGTCTGCCGCCTGGTTTTTAACATAACAGTATCACTTTGTTTTGTAAAGGCTGGCACATTGACACACACATCCCCAGTTCTTTGCAGTCATAGGCAAAGACTGCAGAGTGAAAGCTTCTCATGTTCCTGTCGGTCTCTATACCTAGGAGAATAGAGAGATTTAATACTGCATTTAGTCTGTCCTGAACTACTTTGAGTGACCTGATTCAAATCTTGAGTGCATAAAAGAGAAGTTCCCCTTCAAGGGCAAGGAACAAAAGGGTTGGCAAATTAGAGCGCCTGTACAGGCACTTTGTGTTGCCCAGAAGATGGTATTCATAATTGTGGCCATTAGCTACAGGGAGCTTCTTTTCCCCATTAGTCATTGTAGAGTACAATAGTTGTTGTTCTTACCTCATTCTAGGGAAAAGGAATCCGTTAAAGAAGCACACCTCAATGGCTGGGCTGTTCTTTAAGCAACAAATGCCATTCTTGCACTGGAGTTTGTGGATAGGACACTTTCCAGAAAGAACAGTTTACCTCAGACTGCCCGATTTCCGCATTTGCAGAACAAGGCCTGCAAGGCAGAAACAGTCTGCCATAGCTGACAGACTTACTTTGCAGACTTTGCCCACATTAAATAACTGAAATTTGGCACAGATGCTGATTCCTTTCCTCTTTATTTGTTATCAGGGCAGAAAGAAGTAAGGTGAGGGTAGGCGCTATGTGTGGTGGAGCTAAGTGTGCACGTGTTCCTGTTCCGAGGTTTGTCGTTGTGCACAATGGATCTATGTGTCAGATGGAGGGGGAGCTGTACATGTGGCATGAGCAAGAAATCACTTCCACGGTGCCGCTTGCTCTCTCCATCCCTCACACAAGCACCTAGTCATGGCTTTCCTTTACTACAGCTGTAAGACAGGCAACCAGCATGGGTTTAATTTTGTGCTTACTGAACCACCAATGTTGTTTTCTGGCACAGGGGCAGGAAGCAGTGTGCATCACAAGTGTAACAGTGCCAAACACCGCATCATATCACCAAAGGTCGAACCAAGGACAGGTGGGTACAGCACTCATTCAGAGGTACAAAATAACGATGTCTCTGAAGGCAAGAACGAGCACAGTCATGGCAAGGCCTCCAGCCGGGAGAAGAGGAATGGCAAAGTGGCAAAACCAGTGTTGCTCCATCAAAACAGTACCGAGGTTTCTTCCACCAACCAGGTTGAAGTCCCTGACACAACCCAGAATTCTCCTGTGTCCATCAGCAGTGGATTAAATAGCGATCCAGATATGGCGGATAGCCCAGCAGTCACTGGTGTGTCCAGCATGGCTGTAGCATCAGTTATGGGAAGCCTGTCACAAAGTGCCACAGTGTTTATGTCAGAAGTCACCAGTGAGGCTGTGTACACCATGTCACCCACCTCCGGCCCGAATCAACACCTTCTGTCCTCAGATGCGGCTGCACAAGGGCTGGTACTTGCTGTGAGTTCTGATGGACACAAATTTGCTTTTCCGACAACAGCCAGTTCAGAGAGCTTGTCCATGCTACCCAGCACCGTCTCCGAGGAACTTGTGCTCTCCACAACTTTAGATGGAAATAGAAAAATTCCAGAAACCACCATGAATTTTGACCCAGACTGTTTTCTTAATAACCCCAAGCAAGGGCAGACTTATGGTGGAGGGGGTATGAAAGGTGACAGCATCAGTACCAACATAAGGCAGTCACCCACCACAGAACGTAGCTTCAACTTCAATACAACCCTCACGAAGGAAATTAAAACAGAGGACACGTCTTTTGAACAACAGATGTCCAAAGAAGCATTTTCCTCCACTTCTGCATCTAACACTCTCACCCTCACTACTGGTTCAGGTTTGCTTCCATCTGGAGGGGGTCTGAGCCCAAGTACCACCTTGGAGCAGATGGACTTCAGTGCCATTGACTCCAACAAGGACTATTCTTCCAGCTTCAATCAGACAGTCCAGAGCCCTCACGTTCATCAGACCCCTTCCCCCAGCTTCTTTCTGCAGGATGCCAGCAAACCTCTTCCCCTTGAGCAAAACACCCACAACAACCTGAATGACACAAGTGGCTCATTTGTGAATACAATAGGAATCCCCAGTGTGAAAACAGAGTCCCCATCCCAAACCACTTCCAACTGCAATGGCACGGTGGAAACCAGAATAGAGTCCACCTCTTCTCTCCAGCTCATGCAGTTCCAAGCAAATTTCCAGGCTATGACTGCAGAAGCTGAAGTTCCCATGGAGACCTCCCAGCAGGCAGAAGGGAATGAAAATCTACTTAAATCAGGGGATCTTCAAGCCTGCAGCACAGAACACTACTTGCAACCTGAGACCAATGGAGGTATCAGGAATGGGAACAATCTCCCTATTCTCCAAGGAAACATGGTACAAGGACTCTATCCTGTGGCCCATCCCAGCTTAAATAACTCCTCCAACATGGAGCTTAACTTGGACCACTTTGACATCTCCTTCAGCAACCAGTTTTCTGATCTAATTAATGATTTCATATCTGTGGAAGGTGGGAGCAATGCCCTCTATGGACACCAGTTGGTGTCAGGTGACAGTGCCGGACTCTCTCAGCCTGAAGACAGTAACAGAACAACCTACAACCAGGCTGAAATGTGCATTCCTTGCTGCAGTCCTCAGCAAGCCAACATGCAGCTCAGCAGCACAGAGAATGGAGCCAGCACGATGGCATACATGCATGTGGCTGAGGTGGTCTCAGCAGCTGCAGCACAAGGCACTTTGGGGTTGCTACAGCAGAGTGGGCGCTTGTTCATGGTGACAGATTATTCACCAGAATGGTCTTACCCTGAGGTAAGTTAGGGCTTTTAGTCCTTAAGTTTAATGCCTCATCCTTACTTGCTTTGTTAATAACAGCTCCAATAACTGTTTTGTTAAAGCTTTGACAACGTTTGAAACACATTTATCTTAGAAGAAAGAGCATCCAAGGCCATTTGCATGTCTCAGTGTACTTTTAATTAAGCACTCTGTCACCCTGACAGGGCCTTTTCTTCACCTAGAAACGTCTGAACAGAAATGTTTTGTTTCATTGAAAGGCCAAGTATTCCCGCATGATGGCCTCGTGCACTACTATGTACAGCCTTACTGCACTGAACTGCGTGTGATGGATCTTGCTAATGATGCAAAGTAGTATTTATCCTATGTCAGGTGTATGTCCTGGCACAGCTCTGCAGTCTGTTCCTTCCTGCTCACGTGTGTGAGGAGCACTCCCATCACGGCATGGTGAACGTCCTGGTGGTGCCCAGCTCCATGCTGAGCCTCAGGGAGGAGGCACAAGGACTGTGGGAGGAACTCAACCGTACTTCTGCAGATCTGTGCTGGATGCAGCTGGTGCCTTTCCCACCAGCAGGAGAGGCGGATGCCAAAGCCTTGCACTGTGTGGCTGACACAGCACTACTGAGACCCATGTCAGGGCAGGGAGAGAGATCTAGGACAGGCTCCAGTTGCTAAAGTTGGGGTTGAAGGACCCCCTTGTACCCCTGCTTTGCACAGCCCCTTCAGGGACACCCCTTGTGACCATGCTTCCTTTTTTAACCAATTTCTCAATACCCAGTAAAGTGCAAGGTGTATCACTGCCAGCAGGAGGAGGGAACAGAGCGAGTGAAAAGAAGCAGAGATGCTCTGTTATGGAATGCTGTTTGCATTTCCCCTATAGTGTAAGGTTTGGTGGCCAGAGAAGGGCACCGCGAGGTGTCCCAAAGGCTGCAGCAGCAGCAGCTGTGAGCAGAGCAGTCATGGCGGTGCAGGTGGGTGGAGGTATTCAGGCTCTGCAGAGCACTGGGATGTTGCTGGCTACTGGTGCCAAAGATCTGTATCTGCCCTCATGAGTTTGTTTGCGGTTTAACCATTTGGGTGCATGGTCCTCTCTGGATAGGGCTTTTTTCATGATGCTCCCTTTTTTCCCCCTCTGCTCACTGTAGGGAGGAGTGAAAGTTCTAATCACTGGTCCATGGCAAGAAGCCAGCAATAATTACAGCTGTCTGTTTGATCAGATCTCAGTGCCTGCATCTTTAATTCAGCCAGGAGTACTGCGCTGCTACTGCCCAGGTAAGGAATGGCTCTCCTACAGCTGGTGGCTTCAGAGGAAGTTCTTGACTTTCAATGCATGCAGAATAACTGATCCTTGCTTGCTACTTGAAATGCTGTGAAGTTGGTTAATTTTGGAGCACATGGGATCCTACCTCATGCCAAAAGAACCTATTGTATGGCTCCTCAATGTGTTTTAAAGCCTGCCTGTTTTAAAATGCAGATTGACATTTTGGACTCTTCAGTTGTGTAGTCACAAAAATATTGCTGAGTGCACCCTCTGCTCTCGTTTCATCTGCTGCCAGGCTGCCCGTGGGGAGTTCACTGACAGTGTTGTATTTTGGCATTTCTGCAGGGAGGTCACTGTCTCACCACTCGTTCTTCTCTTTTAGCTCATGACACTGGGCTCGTGACTTTGCAAGTTGCCTTCAACAATCAGATCATCTCCAATTCTGTGGTGTTTGAATACAAAGCCAGAGCTCTGCCAACCCTGCCTTCCTCCCAGCATGACTGGCTGTCTTTAGATGGTAAGAAGTGCATGATATTCTTTAACTAAGCTCACCAAATGGTAGAACTGAATGAATGGTAGAACTGTGAATGAAAGGAGCAGCCCCTGGTAGGGGAGAGGGACGCAGGGGGCTGAGGCTGAGTCGTGGGGAAGGCCTGTCACTCAGCACTCCGTTAATCAAAGCCCTCTTCCTGTTGACAGAAAAAAACATGAGTGATCAGAACAGACCTCTGTTAGCTTGATGTCAGCACTGAGGGATGGGAATGTGGGCTTGAGATTTATGTGACAGCTGTGTTTGCAAGTGTTACATTTGGGCACACCCCTGAAATGCATTTTGTAGAGGAGAGATGGGAAGAAAGATAGTAGAAGAGCATGGGAGCCTGGAACAGCGGGCTGGAGGAACTGAATATCCCCTCTTACCTGTGCCCACTGGTGCTCCTTCTAAAAGCTATTGGAGAAAATGAGAAGTCAGTACGGCCTGCAAGGAGGCAACAGATCTGCTGGCTGGTCTGTTATTTCTGTCCTACTGCATGAAATTCATTGATTTTTTTTGAGAAGTCGCCAGGGTGACAATTTGAACAAGATGGGCAGGGCCTTCATTTCCCTTCCTGAGTGTGATTGCTGGAGCACCTTCCAACTCAGAGCAAGGAGATCTAAGGAAAAGAGCTGGTTTGTTTTAACAGACATGATAGGATGGAAAAGAACAAGCAATACTGCTTTTGTCTTTTTTCACCAGAGAGTCAGCTGCTGCAGTGCTGCATTTTATGCACTCTTAGCAAAGTCCTTACATGTTCGTGTTAGGGGACCCATTTGTTAAGTGCCTGCTTTCTCTGCTCTGTACAGGAGACAAATATGGTAGGGTCAGATCCAAAGTCTTCAGAGATTTCATTGCTGAGAAACTAATATTAGTGCTGCAAAGTGTTATATGAAAGAAATCACAGGAGCCATTGTTTGCACTGGGCCGTACTGAAGATGAGCAGTAATGAGCTAATACACTGATTCTGTTTGTTGCTCAGTCAATTAACCTCATCTAATTTTGTCTGTGAGCTGCCAATGTAGTAACTGCAGTTCAGTCACAGAATCGTCACAGAATTGCATGCTCTGGGAAATCTGTTGTGGATGTATTACTTTGATAGGAGCTTGACTTCAAAACGTTGCTGTAATCACAAAGATTTGAAATGTGTGTTACTGTGTTATTATTGCTGCATATACTTTGACAGACTCGGCAGATATGTAGAACTGATTGACGCCAAGGGGAGAAATACTGAATAGTTTTAAGCTTAATGCAGGCCAGCAGTGTGCAAATGTCGTCAGGCGGTGTTTGAAGGGATTTTGGTGGGCTCCTTCCTTCTGTCTGGGAAGCCTAGGCAGAAGAAGCTGCTCTCATTCAGACATCAGTTAGATGCTTCCTGTGTGCCGGCAGCAGCTGTGAGTCTGGGGCCATCACAGTCCCTGCTCATCGGTGTGTGTGGATCATCTCCAGTGCGGCGTGCAAAGGGGCTGCGTCTTAAAGCTCTTCTTTGGTCCTTTCCTCAGTGCTGGTGGTTTGGAGGAGCTGCAGAAGGTGGCTGAGTGCTGCCTGCTTGTGTTGTCTGTGTGCTGGGGAGCGGGCAGGCTTTCCATGAGTGCTGTGATGTGGAAGGGAGGGGGACTGCAGCAGTGAACAAAGTAGGGCATTGCTAACGGGGGGGAAAAAAAAGGAAAAGGACCACTGCAATGCAGAGGCCCTTCAGGGAAAAAGACTGAATAATTCTATGAACCATGAGCTATCAGAAGGCTCTGTCGTGGTGCACAGTGCTCTGAAAGCAGCAAATGATATTCTTTTTAATGGACAAGCAACATCTTTGCTTTTATTCTGAGAGTACAGATGTTAGTTCAGCTATAAGCTAATGTGAATTGATTCTACCAGTAGAATAAACACACAAATCCTCATCTTCTCTGTTTGCTCCTAATTGCACTGCATTAAATCCTTGTACTACTGCCGGTTCTGTCGTCTCGAGGGAAGGATGCTAAGGACTCTCCGCAGTCCCAAAATACAGACCAGGATTTTATTATCCTTTCTACTTAATCTGAAGGAACGCTCTGAGTTCCTTCGTGTTTAAATATTTCAGCTATGTGAGCACTGCAGGGTTAACAAACTCCACCGTACTGCAGAAATGGTGTCATCCCCAAATCCCTTTAAAATGAAGACAAAGACATGCTATGTAGGGGAGGTGTGTGCTGAGGTGACAGTAAATCAGCTGTCTTTTCTCAGCTCTGCAGATATCTGGAATGCTTTATCTTCAGCTTCTTTTCTTCAGGAGGAATCACAGCTCTGGAGAAGTTTCCAAGTTTCCAGCAGCAGGAAAAAAAGAAGCATGAAGGGATCTGTCTGCTCACTGGCATGCATTGGTGCTCCTCCTGCCCCAAGCAGTGCCAGCAGATCCCCCTGTGCCCACACAGCACCTTAGTATGATCTGCTGCTGCTGCTTCCTCTTGTTTGCTGTTGGTAGAGAAGCGCTCTCAAGACAAATGAAAAGCAAACAGAACACTTCTGACCTGAAGGGCAGAAATGAGAAAGGCTTTTTAGTACAGGCTTTCAGTGTGTTTGCTTCCCACTGCAGAATTTGCTGCTTTCAAAAGGCACTTGTAGAGACGGCGTTTGCTTGGCATGGGGTGTGATGGGGCATTTAGAGGGGGCCACTATGAGTTGCTCCTTGGGGCTGTGCTTATTATGCACATGCAGGAAGGAAGTTGTGAAGGAATAAGTTAAATTGTCAAGGAGAATGTAAAAGTCTGGGTGGGGAACTGAGGGAGCTGAGGGTTTGGGTGTGCACAGGATGGGCAGAGCTGTGGTGGGAACTAATGGCACTGATAGGAGGGAGCATGACAGGCGGCTCTCCCAGCCCGCTGGTGCTCAGTGAGCTCTGGCTGCCTTTCCCGGGTGGAAGATGCAGAAGTGTGGTGGCTTGATGCTGTTGCTGTGACAACGGATGTATGCATGGCACCCAGGCAGCCCCCAGGCTGTGTGTGCGGAGCTGGTGGTGTCTTGTTCACCTGGACCTGATGCCTGTTTCTAGCATGGGAGTGTGTGAGATGGAGACAAGACGACCTTGCAGGCACCGTGTGCTCATACTGGTGAGGTCTGAAGATGCATGGAGGCTTTATCTGTTCCGTATTTTCATTGAGACTTGCATTTTTGGTCCCTTTACGTACAGCCAGGCAGCTCCCATACACCTGTTTCTGAAGGCTGCGTTCTGTTGCTCCGACTGCGTTTCGCAGACGCTGTTTTCTGCTTCGCTGCGGTGGAGGCGTGGAGACGGGAGCGCTGCGGCTGCTGCCCGTCCCGAGGCTCCGACCGCTTGCCGGCGGACGCGCCGCGGTGCCCGGACGGCTCCGGACCGCGGGCCGCACGGCGTTCCTCGGGGATTTCACGCTGGCGTTTAACGACGCAAAGAAACCGTTAACATTTCTTAGCTCCGCACGTCGGCCTCGGGGCGCCGACGGAGGGATGAGAGCCGCAGTGCCGGAGCTCGGCCGCTCGGCGCCGGC